TTCTTATATGAAATACACATCATGTAGTACATGAACTTCTGGTTGTTATCACTTTGAACTTCTCTCTCGTTTGAGAGAATTATTTTAAAACACAAAAAACAACATATTTTTTATGTATTTTGGACATCTAAATACACGGCGAACCTCTCTCGCAAGATTTTTTTTAAACTTTTACTCGTCGAGCACTTGAACTTCTAGCAACCTTTTTTCATTTATGAGTTGTTTTTAAAAGTGCAAAAATGGCGTTGTGTTTTTTATTTTTTGAACAGGTAAATCCTAGGTTTTAATAAACTCCGAACTTCTCTGTTATTTCAATATGAACTTCACCTTTTTATATTTTGAGTAAAGAATTGTAATCGATTTTTATACGGGAAAATCGAACATGGAAATATAAGGTGAACCTCTCTCACAAGAATTTTTGAACTTCCCCGGACAGAGCACTTGGACTTCTTTCAACAAACCTTTTAAGCTTTTATTTTTTCTATACTTTTATTCTCACCGGAAATGCATTCCTCGCAGTAATTGAACTTCTCGTTGTTTCATTATGAACTTCTGCCACATTTTTGTGTATACGTCGAATTACACGCAATTGAAGGGTGGACGTCATTTTTTGCCATTTTTTAAAACATGTAATTGGAGGTCGGTCATCCCGTTATGAACCGTGCACGGAGGTGCACGTGAACTTCTTACAACAAATCTGAGTTTTTTTTATATACTTCGAACTTCTCTGTTATTTTAATTTCAACCTCTTAGTCATATTCTTAGAAAGGAAATATGTTTTTAAATAAGCATCAAACATTCTTTTTCAAAATTGAACTTCATTGTTTTATTTTTCATAGGAACGGTAATAATTTGAGTTTCCCATATACATCAAATTACTCCTCTTTTTTAATTTGAACTTCATCATTTTTATTCTTTAGTAACAAGGAAAATCTGAGTTTTTTTTATAAATATCGAACTTTTCTATTTTTGTAATTTGGACTTCTTGGTTTATTCTTTCAGTGATGGCAAAATCTTAGTTTAGTTCTGTTATTTAAATTTGGACTTCTAGAGTTTTTTTAGAAATGCTGATAATCCCGTTTTTTATGATTTTTTGAACTGCTCTATGTTTAAAATTCAAACTTCTTATTTTTATTACGAGCGGTGAAATATCTGTTTCAAAGTGCTCTCTTATTTTTGTACTATTGTGTTTTTTTTGTGTGAACTTCTTATGTTCTTCCCGTCAACAGATTCAAAATTTCCATTTTTTATACATTGAAATATTGCTTTATTTTATTTTCAACTTCTTGATTCCATTCTTTAATAACGAGGAAAATCATAGCTTCTATAATTATCAAACTTCTCCATATTTTTAATTTGAACTTCTTGGTTTTATTTCTTGGTAGTAGAAAAAAATTCTAGTCTTGTAATAAACATCAAACCACTTTAATAACGGAACATTTCGTAGGATTTTTGCAAAGAGTAAAATCTAAGTTTTTATAAACATCATACCACTCCATTTTTTAAATTTGGACTTCTTGGTTTTAGAGAATAAGTAAAGTTTGAACTACTCATTTTGTTAAAGTTGAACTTCTGAGTTTTCTTTTTTGTTATGATTGGGGAAAATAAAAACTAAACATTTTTTCGCACACATCTAACCATTTTTGTATTTGATAATTTTTTTACATGAGACCATCCGAATTTATTCATGTACAAACTTTATTTTTGCATTTCATATTTTGACCTTTTTGCAAATATCTTATATGAACATTCTGTGGTCATTTTTAACGCACTTATGGACGTGCACTTTTCAAGAACTATTCATTTTGGACTCTCACGCATGATGAAATATAACTACAATGATGTGGGTGTTTTTATTTAATTTTAGTGCTTTGAAGTATCTTTTTCTTTTAGGTAAAATAAGAAACAACAATTTAACGTGGCTCACAGTTGCTTTTTTTACTTTGTATATCTTGGATGTATTTCTAGAACAAAAATCATAGTTGCTTTAACTTTTAATAATATTCCTTCACCTTTTTCTTGATGGGAGACGTACTTACATACATTTTGTTTTGAACAAACAATTCATGAACTACCTCAAACTTGACCTTCTCGACCACAATTTCTTGGCCTTAGGAAAATAAATAAAAAATAGAAAAATACATGGTTGTACAAGCATAAAAAATAGATCGGTTTCTTTGTATTCTCTTTTATATGCCTATAGAAATACTCATCATCCCCTAGGGGCGATGCACATGTTTCTGAGATCGCAGAAACGCCGAAATATAAAAACTGGTCGGTCCATCTAACCCCTCCGAGCGGCCCACCCTCCCTCCCGCACCACCTCTCCCCCGATCCACCCAACCACCTCCGTAACGATGACATAACGAGGATGGAAAATGATATATCTATAGGAAGACCATCTGCAGAAAAGCCACATCATAATCTTTAACCATGGACAACAAGTTCAAACACAAAACCAAGGACTATAGCTAAACTCTCGTAGAAATCTCTCTCTAGCATTCTAGTTGAACTTGAACAGTAGTGCACCAACATTAGCTAGAGGGCGAGGCAGGACACAGCAACAGCAGCTAGCAGCGACCAGCAAATGGAGGCTGGGTCGTGACGGTGGCACTAAGATGGAGGAGGTGCAGGGCATGGCAGGCAAAAATAACTGTGATTGAATAGTCTTAATCAGGTAGGTAGGCCTTACAAGAAAAAAAATAGCAAGTACATCAAGTTTTAGTGCCTCTTTCACACACAGATGTGCAACAAAATTGGCATTCCTTCTTATATAGATGAACTTGAACCACTGGAAACTTGTGAGATATGAATGCATCTCTCGAAAGCCATCGACCACCTCAGAAAAAGACTTGGAATCCTTTGACATCATGCATCAAACTTGGCCTTCAGTCTCAATAATATTATTTCATAATCCTTTTTCAATCACGATCAACATGGTTGTCCCTGCGAGCCAACTATCAACTTTACGATTATGAAAATACTAGATTTTGGCAAATGTGTACGAGCTACTGAAGAAATTGAAGATAGTTGCAAACAATATACGAGCTACAACCTAACAATTTGCAAGCACTTGAGTGAAGGCAACACCTTTGTTCTTCTTGAACTTCTCATTTTTCTTATTCTGAACTTGATGTTTTTTTTTGCAACTGCCAGTGCCGGGAGGCCGGCTTCACTCCGTCAGGTAGCCGCGTCCACCTCCTCACAGGATAGCGAGCAGGGGAGGAAGGAGAGATAGACCTGGCAGCAAGCGGGGGAGGAGCCGGAGTAGCGCTACGTCAGGGATGCAGGGTGAACTTGAACCTGAAGTACAGAACACACATGAAAAACACTCTTAAGTAATCCAAGCCATATCAATTAGCAAGCAAGGACTAAGCTAGAAAGGAAAACGAACACACAAAACTAGTACTGGTGCACTAAGACATTTTAGCCAACATTCTGCGTGCACACACAGAAACTAGAGAAGTGGAGAGTGATGAAGCAGAGAGGAGGCACAGTGGGTAGGGAACCTGCAGTGCTGCATCCGCATTCAAGGATGGGCCGGGGACGAAGGAGCTTGCTGGAGCAGCACCCACCACCCCGTGCACGCAAAATTGGAGCTGGTTGAGATGATATGCGTCCTGGAAGAGTCGCCCTGCTGTTGTGGCACGACTTGGACTGCAGCGACCCACACAATTTTTGTTGATGCATACACAAGGGAGGAGATGAGCTTCGATTAGCGTCAATTAGCGCGCACACATCTCGCGAGCACAGCGGCCCCGATCCCGGGAGTGGTGGCCCGACGGCGGTGAACAGCCAGTGCTTTGCATGCCGGGTCCCGACGGCGGCGCACTATGGGGTTCGTGCGGGAGGATGCAAGGCCGGCCCCCTCCTCACAAGGCAGCGCCCTGCTGGGAGCCATGGCTGTGGCAGGGATGAGCAAGATGTTGAGATCCATCTTACCTCGCACGACGGTGGCGAATGACTACAACTGGAGTCGTTGGACTGCAATGGTGGGGTTGAGCTGGAGGATGCAATGGCGGCGGCGACATGCACATCAGTGCCGAGCAAAATAATGTGCCCATTTTTGTTTGCCTGCATTAGAAAATGTTTTGCAAGAGATTCCAGATGCTACAACTAGTTCTCATTAAATTGGAGGATACAAAATCAAATTCCCAATACAAATACATTTTTAATCTGGAACTAACAGAGGTTACAACAGAGAACAATCCCTGGTTTCTCAAATTGGAATTCATGCCCTTTTTATGTCATCGTTACAAACTGGACTTCTCTTTTTTCTAATAAGAACACACACTATAAAGGAAAAATAGAAATTTCTTTTGCCATCCTTGGTGGAGCACATAACGGCAGGTGCAACAAGTTCAGAGTGTGCAAGTAGAAAGGAAGAGGTTCAGAGAAAAAGACTGACACTTGGTCATGCTGCGGAGGCGTCCTGTAGTCCATACTTGTCTGGAGCAGCAGTAATGAGGACGCAACTAGAGAAGGCCAACGGAAATTTTGTGAATAACACTCCTCGCCACATCACATAATTTGATCTCCTCCAATACCTGCTACTACTGCTGCTCCTTGTTGGATTTGGGCACGGCCAACCTGACGACCAACAACAACAGTAGCACAGGTGGGTCTAATTTTCCATTAACAACCACTGTCGTACGCTGACCATTGGAGGACAAGTCGTGGCTGTGCACGAGAGATGCAGAGGGACCAAGGGGAGCATGGAGTGGATGAGGTAGGTTAGGAGGGGCTGAGAACAGCATCATCGACAGCGGGGCTGACTAAGGCGACCTGCGGAGGCGTCGGACGGCGGAGAGACGAGGCTGGAAGCTCGGACGGCGCGCGATGACCAGCTCAGAGGCGGTGCATGGGAGAAGGCAGGCTGCGGGGGTGGCGCACGGCGCCCGGTGCGCAAGTGACCCGAGAAAGGAGGCGGGATACAGGGCTGACCCATGGTGAGGTGGGAGGAGCTGGAAGTCTAGATCAGGGTCTCGGCGTGGTTCGCCATGGGGATCCATGGTGATGTATGGCGACTCGCTTGGGGGAGGGAGGTTGGAGCGCCGGCATCATCCAGGAGAGGCGAGTGGTGGAATGAGGCGGGGCGCGAGCTCGGGAACGGCGGCGGCGGGCGAGCTCAAGAATGGCTACGGTGGCGCACTAGCTCAGGAACGGCGGCGCGCGCGAGCACAGGTGCCGGCGACGCGTGGAGGTGTGTGGATCCTGGTGGCGGCGTTGGTGAGAAGTTGGCGGTGCGAGGAGGTGGGTTGCGGCGGTGGTGGTGCGCAGGCGGCGGCGCAGGGATGTGGCGGGGCGGCGCACGGGGCTGCTTGGGCGCGGCGGCGAGGATCTGGGAGGTCGCCGCGGCAGCGGGGGGTCTGGGGAGATAAGACGAGGTGTTTTTTTGTTTTGGGAAGTTCGGTATATAGTGCGTTGTGATCCGAATAGAGTGTTACTCTTGGGAGTACGTACTCCCGCTCCTCATATACACATAAATAAATCTTTTATATCTTTTTATTATTTTTAATATACTTTATTAGTAATTATTAGATACCTCAAAATGAGTTTTACGAAAAAATTCAAATGAGTCTACATATTTTTAAATGTTTACGTATATACTGATATGTTTGTACGTGAAAAACGTATATTACAAAAAATACGTCGCAGATGATATATTTTCAACAAATCTCGTATTGGGGTATCTTAGAATATTTAATGAGATATATTGAGAATAATAAAGAGGTATAATTAATACGTATATGAGATATATTGAGGATG